AAGCTGTCTTAGTCTCTTCAGGCTGCTATAACAGAAATACCACAGACGGGGGTGCTTATAAACAACAGAAATTTCTTTCTCACTGTTCTGGAGACTGGTTATTCCAAGATCATGGTCCTGGCAGATTTGGTGTATGGTAAGAAGTCATTTCCTCAAAGACGGCCATCTTTTCACTGTGTCCTCACATAGTGAAGGGCATGGGAGCTCTTTGGGGTCTTTTATAAGGGCTCTGATCCCTTTCAGGAGGGCTCCACCCTCATGGCCTAAGCATTTCTCAAAGGCTTCATTTCCTAGTACCATCACCTTGGGGGGATTGCAACATATGAAGTTTTTTTTTTTTTGGGGGGGGACACACCACAAACTTTTAGTCCATAGCAAACATAGTGCAATTAAATCATGTGTGGCGGAGAGGATAAGATATTTTGGGCTACATATCAAATGCCAAATCTTGGAATTTGAGGTGTTCGGTGGGCATCTAGATGGACATATCCAAGAGTCAGTTGAAAACACAATTCTGACACTCAGAAGTGAAGTTTGGCTGGAGATGCCTGTTATGAACAAGGATACTATTTTGGCTAACATTTGTGAAGTGCTTGCACACACCAGGTCCCATGCTAATCCTTGAGGCAGTATAGAACAGTGGCTAAGAGCCCAGTTTCTGGAGTTAGATTGTCAGCATTCACTTACCAGCTCTACCACTTACAATGATTGTGATCTTAAGCTTTCTGTGCCTCAGCTTCCCCCATCCATGCAACGGGGATAATAATAGTATCTACGTCATTGGGCTAGTATCAGGATTTTAATGGACTTAGAATAGTGTGTAGCACTCAGTGAGTATTATCTATTATTTTCTGTGACCCCAGTGAATCATCATGACAAATCTAAATGGTACAGAGAATTAGTTAGTATCCTCATTTTTTCAGGCTTGGGGGATTTAAGTAACTTCCCCAAGGTCACCCTGGTGTTAAATGGTGGAGTCAGGATTTGAACCCAGAACAGACAGCCTCCGTCGTCAAAGGCAGGTCAACTCCAGAGTCTGAACCACCAGCCAGAGTTAGAGTCCTAGGCAGGTAGGCAGAGAATGAGACGTCACTCAGGAAAAGCATCTTTGAGGGGTGGTGAGGTGGTTAAGAATAACAAGAGAAATCAGAAAAATGCTCCAATAGGTAACAAGAGAACCAAGTGCAGTAAAATTTGGGGTGTGTTCAGCAGCTCAGGTGCTCAGTGGCGCCACTTCCCTAGTGGAGGACCTAAATCAGTGGCTTTGGGATTTTGATTCTCAGCCCATCACCTGGATTTGTGGTTAACAGTTGGTGCCATTCGATGTCTCCCCNAAAAACATGCCTTGTTAGCATTACTCAGGTTATGTATATTAAAGATGAAAACAGCCTCTCTGATTATAAAAGTCAGTAATCAAACCAGCATTTGAGAATTCCAGGAAAGATAGTGAATGAGGCAATTGGACTGTCTGGTCCAAGGCCAAGGTCATGATTATATAGTGAGAGACATTCAAGTCAGAATGAGACAGAGAGAGAGACTGAACAAAACTCAAAGACAGAGAAAGAGATATTAAGAGGAAAAAGAGACAAGGGCAGAAAGAGCAAGGGGGGAGGGAAGATGAAAGATGGTGCAAGAGAGACATAGAAAGAAACAAAGGCAGAGACAGAGACAGTGACAAAGAAGACGTGGATAAGGAGGCTGCCATATGAAGAAATTAAAACTTCAAACCCTGTTATTCTGAAAACACCCAAACCTGTGAAATGAGAACATAGCACCAAAGTGACAAAATGAAACCCAAAACACACAGCTTCAAGACCCACTTTTCCTACCAAATTGGCTGTATGGCTTTTGGCAATCCCTCAGCACATCTGTGCCTCAGTTTCCTCATCTATAAAACCAAGGCATCCTATTTGGGATCAACTGTATCTTTGGGTAAATAGCTATGGTTTATACCAAGAGAGGGCTTATGGACGTTCAACAAATTTTTTTCAGAATGGTAAAACAGAATTTAAACATTAGGAAAACTCAGATGTGTATCAGAGAGCTAGTTTTGATTCTCCCATGCTTTCCTTCTCACTAGAAGATTTTATGGCTCTTGGTCTTTCATTATTCAGTTGAAACCTGTTCTCTTCCTTGTAGCTGACTATGGAAGGGCACGTTCTCTTTGGTTCATTAATGTTCTTGCCCTTGACCCCAGCCCCCGCAAAAAGCCCATCAATGTGCACATGATTGAATTTGATGGGCTTCATTGATATGTATGAGCTCATCTTGGGGCATCGTGAGCCACAGGGCTATCCCATCCTAACTGCCCCTGATTGTAACCACTGACAGAAAACCCTTCTGGGGGACCTGCTGTCTCATCCTACAGACAGGTTGGGAGCAAAACAGCCGGGCCAATTCCCAGATAATCCAGAGATCGTGGGAGCAGAACCTTAAAGCAGGCTTGTGGAGACAGCTTGGATCAAGAAGGACTCTCTCAAAGGTACACCTCAACCTAGAAACCTGGGAGGGTGTGAGAAGTGAGGCCTGGGGGAAGGAGGGGCTAGAGCAGCAGTGTCTGTCTCCTAGAGGACATATAACGGGAGCCATATATATCATTGTAAGTTTCATAGTAACCATTTTTTTTTAAAAAAATGAGAAGAAACAGTTGCAACTTATTTTAATAATGTATCTTGTTGAATCATGACATCCCCAATATTACCATTTCAGTATGTAATCAACACAAAAATTATTCATGAGATATTTAATTTTTTTATACTTCATCTTCAGAGTCCAGCAAGTATTTCACGCTTACAACACATGACACTTAGAACTCAACACATTTTGCGGGCTCAGGGGTCACAAGTGGCTGGTGACTGCCATATGGGACAGCACAGCTCTAGAGCCCTGGAAGGAAAGGCCAGAGCAAGTGGGGCAGGTGGCTTTGGGGGCAGATTGATTCCTTTCTCTGTTAAGAAACTTGAAGGAGTGGGTGGAGCCAGATTATACGAACAACAAAGGCTGCCCATAACCTAAGTTTGTGTAAAAGAGATGGAAGAAAAGGAACTAGCCTGGACAATGGCCTGTTAAGTTCTTGGTGGCGGACTAATATTTTCGTGGTTCCATGAGTCTTTTCACCATCCTTCTAAGGTAAGACTCGTTCTTCCTGTTTTATGAAGGAGAAAGCTGAGATTCAAAGAGATCGTCCTGAGGTCTTGTTGTTTCTCCCTCCAAAGGCAGCCTGAATACATAATAGAAGGGTGTGTGTGTGTGTGTGTGTGTGTGTGTGTGTTACATTGAGGTTTTGGTTCAGACATGGAGTCGTTTGCTGCTAAGGAGCAAAAGGACTCAGTAATTTGAAGACACACTGTACTCCAGGACCTTACTCCCATGTGCTCCCATAATTCTCACAATAGTGTCCATAGTTGAATTATTATCGCTGCTTAACAGATGAGAACATTGAAAACTAGAGGTCAGAGAGGTTAACTGACTTTCCCAAAGCCACCCAGAAGTTTGAGGTTAGTGAATTAACTANTCAAGTAGTTGTTTCAATCTAGTTGTGGAGGCCCATGTGGGAATTGAACCGGCAACCTTGGTGTTATGAGCCTGCACTCTAACCCACTGAGCTAGATGGCTGTCCCCAAAATGATCATATTTTTGCAGACAGGTTATAACATGCATGTGTGCATAGAAAATGCTCTGGGAGGCTGAATGTTAATAATGCGTAGTGATGTTAACAGTGACAGTGTTAAAAATGGTGCTTTGTGAGTGAAGGTATTGTCATACTGTAAGATCAGTCGACCAGAGAGAACCACTGTATTCTCTGCCTCTTCCTTAATTTTCTAAATTAATAAGGAAAAAAAGAAATAAAGTACAAAAGAAAGGGAAATTGAGTGATTCTGTTTACTTTTTCTCAAAGTCCAAGACATTTTTATAATTATATGCGTTCTCTTTTTTGTGCACAGGACAAAAGACGTTTAGTTTGTTTTAAACAATATTCTATTGTTGGACATTTAAATTGTTCCTACTAGTATCCAACTTTTGAATATTTATGATTTACTTTTTTCTGGTATCACTGTTCTTGACTTTTAGATCAAATGCCCTACTTTTACAGTACATATAATGTAATCTCCTTTTTACTATCCTGAAATTGAATTTATAAATAGCATTACCTACCTACATTCATAATTTCAAAATAAATCAATGTAATTACTTAATTGTAATATACGAGTAAGAGAAATAAAATGGAAGGAATCAATAATAAGGTAATAAGCATGCATGACCATAGCTAATCTTTTAAACACATTAAAAAATAGCCAGAGGCTTGTGCCTCTAAGTAGAGTCTCTTTGATAACAAGAGCTAAAGATGACTGCAAGAAAAGCTCCCACCCATTGAAAAACAAAACAAAATCTGGAAGTGATAACCATCTCTGTTGAAAACTTTCATGCTAGTTCAAACAATACAAAATTGGATTAGCTAGTTGAAATCGAATTATAAAATTAAAAAAAGAAACATTTTCTTTTTATCTTTTAAATTCTGGGAGTGGGGGCGGAAGTCCCAGACAAGCTTAAGACACACAAAAGGGGGCAAAACTGCCAAAAGTGGATATACAGACACAATCAGGGACTAGAGCTATTTATTTCCACTATACCACTGTTTTGAGCAAATTAAAGAATTCAACAACCTGCTTTTGATTAAGCCTCTTTCAGCCAAATCACTCAGGGTTCCTGTTCAGATGAAGGCTTGCTTTTTTTTTTTTNATTTATAGAGATCAGCTCAGAGTATTATAAGAGTGAGGAAGGGTATTAATCCAGGCTGGACCAAATCTTCATGGGAGAGGAGCAGGGAGTAAAACTAAGAATAGAAGAAAGGCATTCAAGGCATGATGAAGGGCAAGAGCAAAACCCCAAAGGCAAGAAAGAACATAGAGTAAGGTCAAGGAAATGTTAATCAGGGAGTGAGAACAGAGAGGTCAGCAAGGCCTGGATTATGGAGGATTTTAATCCAGTTAAGAAGATTAGACCATCTGCTGGATTACTTGGCAGATGGCTAATAGTATCTATTATGTGCTGATTCTTACTAACTCCCAACAATAACCTTAATTCTCCATACAGGGGGCATCTGCCTGCCTTCTGCCTCGTCACCAGCACCCCCTATACTCAGCGGTGTTCATGGTCGAGGAAATTTATTGATGATGATGATGACAATAATGATGATAGCTAATTTATTCAGCAGTGGCCATGTTCTGGGTACTCCTCTAAGCACTTTCCAGATATTAACTGGTTTAAACCTGACAAAACCAAGACCAAACTGCTCTGAGACCCACAGGCGGCCCAGAGGTAGAAAATGCAATGTTATTTAAGGACCCCTAATTGTATCAACTTAATGGTGAGGCTCAAAGATGGAAGCCTGCCTTTTCCACTCCGTCCCCAAACCTCCCTCATCCTTATCATGGTCTCTGACAGATTATAGGGGTCAGAACCTGATCCAGAACGAGAGATGGGAACACAGGGTTGAAGACAGAGGCCATCTATATTAGTAACAAACTAACTATTGTAACAAACAACTCCCAGATGTCAGTGGCTGAACTCAATAGAGGTTCATGTTGACTCATCTAACACTTCCGTGTGGATATGTGGCGGGAAGCCTCTTTGGTTGTGATTCAGAGACACAGGATCCTTCTGTTTTGTGGCTCCATCATCCCCTAGGGCCTCAGCATTCTCTGCAGGGTCCTCTTTATCAGAGTTTCTCAACCTTGGCACTATTGACGTTTGGGGCAGGATGACTCTTTGTTCTGGAGTGTTGTCCTGTGCATTGTATGATGTTTAGCAACATCCCTGGCCTCTACCCAGTAGATACCAGTAGCACAGCTCCCAGTTCCCTGCTCTCCCAGTTATAACAACCAAAAATATCTCCAAACATTGTCTAGTGTCCCCTGGGAGGTCATAGTCACCCTTTCTTCTGCATTGAGAACCACTGCTCTGTATCCAGCTGGCAGGCAGAGGAAGAAAGGAGCATGGAGGAGGTTGGGGCTTTTTTTTTTTTAATTTAGCTGAGCCATCCTGCCACCTGTTGGCAGCTCAGTGGCAACTCAGCTCGAGCCGGGCATCGAACCGCTGTTGCTCAGAGCTCGCACTCTTGCGCGAGCTCTTAACCAACTGAGCCACTCAGCCGGCCCCCGGGGCTTTTTTTTTTAACCAGGAAATGGAAATGGTGAACATCTTTTCTGCCCATATTCTATGAGCCATAATTTANTTGTAAAATAGGAATTAAAAGTACCTATCAATTGATTTATGAGACCAAGTGGCATAAAATGTGTTGGGCATCTAGCTGGAATATAGTAACTGCTCAACAAATGCTCCATCTCTTCTTTCCATCACACCTCCCCTTCCATAATGACAGTATGTATTTTTTCTTTCCTGTAATAATGTTATTCTTTATTACTCTCTGGGGATAGAAAGAAAAATAGCATGCATGGCACCAAACCTGGGAGTTAGTGGAAGAGGAAGGGGACCCACAGGATCAAAATTGTTGTCATCCTTCAATCCAGAAAGAAGAGACCAGCCGAGATGAACCGTTGGTCCAGTTACCTGTTGGGATGGACAGCCTTCCTCCTCTATTCCTATGAGACAAGTGGAAGTGAGTATACTGGAAAATAATGGGGAGGATTTAGAAACTGGAAAGAATGAATGGGCCAAAGCAACGATCCCTGGATCCAAGATGGCTTAGTAGACATCTCAGACAGACCTGAGGTTTAGACCCTGGATCTGCCACTTTTTCTCTGTCTTAACTTGGTCAAGCAATATAACCTCTCTGATGGCAGCTCTCAACCTGTGAAAGAAGAACAATGGCATTTACTTCATGGGCTATCTTGAAGATTAAACAGAATAATGGACACAAGTATCTTTCATAATTCTCAGCACCTCATAGGGGGAATGCAAATGCTATGTTCGTTAAAAAGAGGGGGCTCAGGGCCGGCCGAGTGGCGCTATGGTTAAGAACTGGCTTAGGATGCCAGAGGGCCCCGGTTCGGATCCCACATATGAGGGCCAGTGACACTGCCCTCTATAGCTAAGATGCTGAACAACAGCTCAACTTGGAGCTGGGCTGCCGTGAGTTGCCAGCGACTGCTTAGGCTACAGCCCCTGCTAAAGTGGGTTGCCATGGGCTACCGTATGTAGCCAGCAGCCAGCGTGAGCGGCCGTCCAGAAGCTGATGACTGATCTGCCTCGCCTGGGAAGAGTGCAATGATGGTGCCAACTTGGGCCAGTGAAGCAACGTCCTCCACAACTAGGCTGAAGAACAAAAGGACAACAACTTTTCTGTTCCCCTTCCCCCAATTACCCAGCACTGTTCCCATCCCCCAATTCCCCAATAAAAATCTTTTTTTAAAAAAAAAAAGAGGGGGCTCATAGTTCCCATAAACTGAACCCATAGACCGTAACTTGGACACTCTCTTTACACTTTAAAAAAAAATGTGGTAAAATACACAGGACACAAAATTTACCATGTTCATAATTTTTAGGTGTACAGTTCAGTAGTGTTAAGTACATTCACATTTTTGGGCAACCAATCTTCAGCACTCTTTTCATTTTGCAAAACTAAACCTCTGCCTGAATTAAATGCCTCCTATTACCCTCTCCCCTCAGTCCCTGGCAACCACTCTGTTTCCTGTCTCTATGAATTTGTCTACTCTAGGTACCTCATATAAGTGAAATCGTATAGTGTTTGTCCTTTTGTGACTGGCTTATTTCACTGAGCATAATGCATTCAATCCATGTTGTAGCACATGTCAGACTATTCTGTTTTAAGGTTGACTAATATTCCACTGTATGGATATACCACATTTTGTTTATCTGTTGATGGATATTGAGTTGTTCCACCTGTTGGCTCCTGTAAATAATGCTGCTATGGGCATGGGTGAGCAAATATCTCTTTGAGAACCTGCTTTCCATCCTATACCCCAAAGTACAATTGCTGGGTCATATGGTAATTTTTAATTTTTAATTTTTATACTTCCATACTATTTTCCATAGTAGTTGTTCCATTTTACAGCTA